CACTTACTGTTCTTTTACCTCTCCTCTTCCTTTCACTCCCTCTTTGTTAGTCCCTTCTCCCTTTTTTGGGGAGGCTCCTTGAATTGCAGACCTTCAACTTTTAAGATTTCTCAAGATTCTAATTAAGACAAGATCACCTCCAGTGCTCTCTGCCAACTATAAAATAGTCTAAAATGCCTTTCTTCACACAAGCTTATAAATTCTTATCACAATATTCATACTGAGCTTGATATTGCCAATAGACCACAGAAGGTTCACAGAGGAGGATTTGTGAACTTAACTACCTGTTGATTGTTCCCTAGAGCAGGGGTGGTCAACCTGGGACATATGTGCTAAAAGTGGCACTGGCAACCTCTGTGTGTGGCATGCAGTATATTGCAGAGGGGCCAGGGGACACAGCAGCAGATTGGGGAGGAAGCAAAAAGCAGAACAGCAGATGGGGCAGGGGAAGGGGATCAGAGTGGCACTCAGAGAGGGGGCAGAACTCATTGTGGCATGCCCAACAAAAAGGTTGGCCACAACGGCCCTAGACAATGCCTTGCTCCATGGGAGTAAGTTGGTGCTTCCTCATCAGAATTAGGAGGATGAAACTGAAAGAAAGCTCTTTCAGGATAACTGTTCTGTTATCAGTTTGTGAACTAATAGCTAGGCAATCTTAAATGCTTTGCCTATTCATAAATCTCTGGCTACTTCTCAGCTCCTTCTCTCTCTCTCTCTCTCTATATATATAAAATCACACACCCACCAATATTTTTTTTTTGCGGTGGCGGGGGAGGGGGGAGTGAAAGGTTATTTATTTTCTCCCAGTGCTGATGGAGCCTCAAATCTAGCCATTTTGTTTTGTTTTTAATTGCACCCATCCCCATGTTGTCTGAGCACCTTCTGTGTTAATTAGTCTGAAAATAGCTTGCCTTGTTTATTGGAACCTTGTGCCAAGACTGCATGTCTTTTCTCCCATTATTATGACTCTCTGGAGAGAGGAAACATGCAGGGCTTGCAAAAGATTTGCGCTCTGAGAGGGTGGCTGGGCTTGAGCTACTTCTCAGATCTGGGAGGGCCATCACTGGGTGCTGAAATCTCTTTTTTTGTGAAGGAATGAGAGAAGTTTGTAAATAAAAAAAGAATGGTGCCAACCTGCTTAGACCAAGGGAAGCTTTAGGGCATACAAGTTTGATGTGCCAGAATGTGAACATGGAAGCTGGGTATACATGTGTCCAGCTGAGGGTAGCTATGGCAGCTGGTTAGTTTCCCTGTCTCTCTCTACTCTCTCTCAGAATTTCCCCTCTCCCTCTTCTCTCTCCCCTGCCTTTTGTATTCAAATTTCTCTCTTCTTCTTACCCCCAGCTTTGTGCATGTCCTTTCACAGCATCTGATGGAGTTAGCCTCTGCCCATGAAAGCTTGTGATAGATAATTGTATTAAACCAGGGGTGCTGAACCTATGGCCTCCAGTGCTGTCAGCCAGCCCATGGGGTACCCTAGGGATCTAAAAATTGGTGGTAGGCTTGCTGCCACATTTCTGGACTTGTGGGGAGCCCTGGACCTTGCGCACTAGATTGGGTGCTTGATCCTGGCAAGTAGAGTTGGGCCCCAGAGCCCAATTGTGGCACATGGAGCACAATCCCAGTACTTAGGCAGTGGGGGGGCCCAATCCCAGCATCCAGGGACCACATCCAGGTGTGCCAGGCTGGCAGAGGCAGCACAGAGCCCACTCCTGGCATATCTGGCCCCTGGCTCCGTACTCACCCAATGCCAGTCATCTGGACTGTAGTGCCAAACCCTTGAGTCCCACTGGGTTAGACTAGCAGGTGCAACTCTACCCTACTCCAGGCAGGATGCGCCTGTGTCTGCCTCCCACATGTCTGAAGCAGGCAGCGGTGCTGGACCCCAGGCCCGGGTCTTTCAGGCTAGTGCCCCTTTCCTCGGAGGCTGGGGCAGTGACAGCCTGGCTCTGCCCGCTGGATCGGGGACTTCTGCTTCACTGAAGCTGCCAGGCAATGGCAGGGTCCCCAAGGGCTGGGCAGCATGGGCCAGGGCAGGGCCAGGTGCTGCAGGGTGACGTTTGGTGGGCGGATTCTGCTCCATGTGAGACCTGTGGCTGCCCAGGGAAGATGCCTAAGTCCGGGCATGTATGAGGTGTGTATGTAGGGTGTGAGGGTATGTGTGTAAGGGGTATGTAGGGGGTGTGTGTGTAATCTGTGTGTAGTGTGTGGGTGTGGTGTGTGTGTGTGTCAGATGTGTGTGTAGTGTGGGTGTTTGATGTGTGGGGGTGTAGTGTGTGTGTGTGCTGTATACAGAGACAACCCAAGCAGGGTGCAAGGCCCCAGGCAAATCAGCCCGTGAGGGGCCCTGTCCCCACTCTGATCAGACCCAAAGAAGCTGCTGCTGCCATCAGCAGCGTTGGTGTCAGCAGCAGGTGAGGGGGGGTTGCCCCGATTCGCCCCCCCCAGGGATGACCCTGGCTGTACAATGTGTGTAGTGTGCGTGTGGGTGTGTAGTGGGGGTGCGCGTGCCATGTGTATAGTGTGTGTGCGTGTATAGCATGTGTATCAGATGCATGTCTAGTGTGGGTGTTTAATGTGTAGGTGTGTAGTGTGTGTGGTGCGCATGGGTGTGTAGCGGGGGGTGTAATACATGTATGTGTAGGTGTGTAGTGTGGTGTGTAGTGTGGGTCATGTGTATGTAGTGTGGGTGTTTAATATGTGCGTGTGTGTAATGTGTGTAGTGTGTGCCTGGTGTGGTGTGGGGGAGTGTGAAATGCGTGTCGTGTGTGTAGTGTGTATCTGTGGTATGTCGTGTGTTGGGCGCGTCAGATGGGTGTGTAGTGTGGGTGCTGAGTGTGTGAGAGCGGAGAGCGGCCCCGGCCGGGTCCTGCTGGACAGCTCCGCGCCTCCCGCGCCTGCGCCGACCCGCCCCGGCCCCCCGCCCGGACAGGGCGGCCCCG